AGTGAACCAGCCCTGGGTGTAACAAGCACTGCCAACACTGCATCACTCCTGCAGTGAACCAGCCTGGGTGAGGCAAGCACAGCCAACACTGCATCACTCCTACAGTGAACCAACCCTGGGTGTAACAAGCACTGCCGACACTGCATCACTCCTGCAGTGAACCAGCCCTGGGTGAGGCAAGCACAGCTGACACAGCATCACTCCTGCAGTGAACCAGCCCTGGGTGTAACAAGCACTGCCGACACTGCATCACTCCTGTGGTGAACCAGCCCTGGGTGAGGCAAGCACAGCTGACACAGCATCACTCCTGCAGTGAACCAGCCCTGGGTGTAACAAGCACTGCCGACACTGCATCACTCCTGTGGTGAACCAACCCTGGGTGAGGCAAGCACTGCCGACACTGCATCACTCCTGTGGTGAACCAACCCTGGGTGAGGCAAGCACTGCCGACACTGCATCACTCCTGTGGTGAACCAACCCTGGGTGTAACAAGCACAGCTGACACTGCATCACTCCTGTGGTGAACCAGCCCTGGGTGAGGCAAGCACTGCCGACACTGCATCACTCCTGTGGTGAACCAACCCTGGGTGTAACAAGCACAGCTGACACTGCATCACTCCTGTGGTGAACCAGCCCTGGGTGAGGCAAGCACTGCCAACACTGCATCACTTCTGCAGTGAACCAGCCCTGGGTGAGGCAAGCACTGCTGACACTGCATCACTGCTGTGGTGAACCAGCCTGGGTGGAACAAGCACTGCTGACACTGCATCACTCCTGCAGCGAACCAGCCCGGGGTGAGGCAAGCACTGCCAACACTGCATCACTCCTGCAGTGAACCAGCCCTGGGTGTAACAAGCACTGCCAACACTGCATCACTCCTGCAGTGAACCCGCCTGGGTGTAACAAGCCGACACTGCATCACTTCTGCAGTGAACCAGCCCTGGGTGTAACAAGCACAGCTGACACTGCATCACTGCTGCTGGGAACCAGCCCTGGGTGAGGCAAGCACAGCCAACACTGCATCACTCCTGCAGTGAACCAGCCTGGGTGTAACAAGCCAACACTGCATCACTCCTTTGGTGAACCAGTCCTGGGTGAGGCAAGCACTGCCGACACTGCATCACTCCTGTGGTGAACCAGCCCTGGGTGTAACAAGCACAGCCCACACTGCATCACTCCTGCAGTGAACCAGCCCTGAGTGAGGCAAGCACAGCCAACACTGCATCACCCCTGCAGTGAACCAGCCTGGATGTAACAAGCACTGCCAACACTGCATCACTCCTGTGGTGAACCAGTCCTGGGTGAGGCAAGCACAGCCGACACTGCATCACTGCTGCAGTGAACCAGCCCTGAGTGAGATAAGCACATCTCTTGACAGTCGTTTCCCAGGCCAACTCTGAGAGGGGAATGGCCACCTACATGATGGTTATAACCTCATGTCCTACATGACGCTCATGGATGAACCGTGAAACTTGCATGTAATCTGGCCAGCTATTCATAATCCCTCGCTGTACATGTGACACCGCTTGGGTACGTTCCCATGCTCTGCTGGCTCTGAGAGCCCCTCACATATGGACCTCAGCCTCACGTGACACAGCCTGTACTTTTTCTCGTTCATCACTTCATAACCATGCTAATGGAGCATTCTGCAGAGATTTCCTTTTAATTCTTAAACTGCTAAATCTGCCACGATTATCACAGGAGCTTTCTAGCCTGCTCCAGGAAAAGAACCAACAAGCACAGCTAGTTTTTCAAACACATTCTGCCTTCCAGGGAGGGCCTGCCAGGTAAGCCACAAACGAAGCAGTACAACGAAGCTGACCTCAATGGAGTGGTTATGGCATCCACAGGCCGCCACAACCAACTTGCCACTTCCAGGTCACACCACCACACGTGGACCATGAGGACCACAACAATTTCAAGACTATGTGACAAACACTGCCACTGCAACATCGAAGGAGAGCTATACCACACCAACCAACCCCATGACAGTGCGCTAGGACACACAGGGACAGCCACACCACACCACACCACACCAACCCCGTGAGACACACAGGGACAGCCACACCACACCAACCCTGTGGGACACACAGGGACAGCCACACCACACCAACCAACCCTGTGAAAGTGCAGTGTGACAGCCAACACTGGACCCCATGACGCAGTGTCTACCAGCTGTGACATCCCCTGGACACAACAGCTGAGTACAGCGTCTGACAGTAGGCACCTGCTCTTCCCCACAAGTTTCAACTTCAAAACCACATCAGACCCACAGCAAGTTGAGAACATCCACCTTTGGCCCCTGACACCATCCAGGTAGCAGAAATCCTTCCTACCTCCCCCTGGGTTCCACAGGTAGAGATGTGTCTGCTGCCAGAGCCCCACACAGCCAACGCAAGACTGGGGCCCCAAGAGCCCTGCCAGGCCTGGGGTGACAGTGCACCTGCACCCCCCCTACAAGGGGCCAGTGCGGACCAGGCATTATAGTGCCCGCACCCTCCCCTTGAGTAGTCATATGGCATTAAGGAGGGCGCACACAGCCTGTGAACAGCGTGGATGCCCCTTGGCAGGCACGGGCAGAAAGCTGCCCCTGTGAGGAGGGCACAGGGTCCCAGCCCCCTGACACCACAGGTCGGATCTGAAGCAGCGCAGTCCTACACCTACCTCACACCCCAGGCCTGCAATTCCTTCCCTGAGGTCAAGACCAAAAACACAGGGAGAGGAACACAAAACCCCTCCCAAGCCCATGTCTCTGGCCCCCCACCAGGGGTGCAGGCTGGAAAGGGAGTCAGGGATCCTGGGTCACAGATCCAAACTGGGCACAGCTCGCTGCCCATCCCATAGCCCCCACCGTGCGCGCCCCGCAGCAATCTCCCTTGTCGCGGCTGCACCCCAGCACCCTGCACCAGGGCCCAGGCGCTTTCAATAGAGCGCGAGCGAGCAGGGACAGTTCGCCAGGAGTGATGAAATGCCGCTTGGGCTCCGCAATTAGGACGGCACAAAGTCGCCTTTCCCGTTGCCGCCGCCCCCAACATCAAAGGCTGGGAATTCAAAGCCATTCACGCTGCACTGAAACCTCACAATAGGGCTGGAGAATGGAAGTCGATTACGGGGCATAAATATGCAGTAGTTAAAGGAAAGAGTTATAACAAAATTAAACTGCAGCCACCCTGCGATGTGTGGAAACTTCCAGCACTCTGAGGCGCCTGGTAAACAGTGAGGTGCACAGGACAGAGCTGGCTTCCAACCACTCAGGGTCCAGACTGCCCCTCTGCACCCCCCGGAGCTGCACCCAGCCAGGGTGCCAGGCCTGCACATCCCTCCTACTCCCAGTGTTCAGGCCTTGCCATCCACACACATCCTTGCAAACGCACACCCCAGGCCTCCAGCTTAGCCCCTGCCATGCCTGGCCCCAGGGCCTGCAGGCCTCGGAGGGGTCCACGGCGCCCTGCCCCTTGCAACTCCACACAGGGCCGTGCCCCAGAGGCCCGCTGGCCACTCCCCTGGAGAGGCAGTGGATCCTTCAGGAACAGCCTACAACGCAAAGAGCTGCTGTAGTCTTACAATGTGTTGGGAGGTGTGTTTTCAAAGCAAGAAAAGACTTCTCTCCCACACACACCAGAGTTCTGGGGACAGGCGCCGCAGTCCCAGGGAACGGGGCACCTGGCAAAGTCAGAACCGCCTCCGAAACAGGTCACTGAGCAGACATCAGAGAAAAAAATAAATCCCATCTCTCCTATTTTTTGATATCCAAAACTCCGATCTGATGAAACTTCAAACTGGGTGGCATTTTGCATTTCCAATTATAAGAGTAATTGTGTTGCCATAGCGACTGGGGAATACTGCAATAACTTTTGTTGTAACTGCAGTAGCGTATATTTGTGTACAAGCCCCTGAGTTTTCTGAATACAACCTCCCTCCTCTCCCTGCCTCTCCCTCCTAACCTCCACCCACCAGCTTCCCAGGCTGGGTTCCCAGCTCCCACCCCCCCCACACACACACACACACAACAGCTTGGATTGGCCGTCCCTAAAATAATGCAACGTATGATCACAAGCAATTAAGACTCCAGGCGACCGCGATCGCATTACAAAAGAAAAAGTGAAACCGGGTCAAAGGGCTCCCCGCAGGTTCCCCAAGACCCACCGAGGGGAGGGGGCTCCCCAGCCTCAGCTGCCGCGCCCCGCCTCCACCACCACCACCACCACCAAGGCCTTCAATGCTTAGCTGGTGCCTGGGCGCAAACACAAACGCCAAAGGCACTCCGCAGGCCCGTTCCTCCCCGCACGCACGCGAGCGAGCCAGCGGCTCACAGCAAGCAATTAGAGGTCTCCGCAGCCATGCAATTAGGATTTAGTTAAGAAAGTCATTAGTTCTTAAAAATAACTGAAGTTTAATTTCTGCCACGCTTTATTTGAGAATTGTGTCACAGCAGGTCAATTTACAGCATGCAATAAAGAAAACACGGCTACCAACCGCTGCAAGTGATTGCACACTTCTGATGTGCAGGCGAGCAGCACCAGGGGTCCCACCCCGGCCCCTCCGACCGCGCCGCGCCGTCGCCGGCCACAGCCGTGTCGGAGAACCCCGCGCTCGCTGTAAACACCTCCTCCTCCGTCCCGGCCCCCGGGCCCGGCGCGGCCTGGGCAGCCCCCCGCTCCCGGCGCCCTCCCCGCGGGGGACCCCGCACCCCCCGGGCCGACCCCGCCGCGGGGACGGGGACGCGGTCCTGCAAACTCACAGCATCGGACAAAGTTACATAAACGGCCCCGCCCGGGCGCCCGCGCCCTCCGGCCTCCGCGCCCACCTGTCGGGGCGGCGGGCGCCGGCCCCCCGCGCGGCCCGGCCCGGCCCCGCGGCCCCCCGCGCCTTCTCGAAGCGTCCAGAAGGCGCGGGCCCGGCGCGGCGTCCACCTGCCGGGCCGCGCGGCCTGGGCGGGCCGAGGGGCGGGGGCGGCCGGCCGGCGGACAATGGCGCGGCGCCGGGCCCGGAGCGCTTACCGCGGCGGCGGCGGCGGCGGGCGGCGGGCCGCGCTCAGCCCTGCTCGGGCGCCCCGAGCCGCATCTCCTCAGCCTGCGCCGCCACCCGCCGGCGGGCGGGCGCGGGCTCCGGGCTCGGGCGGCGGCGGCCCCGCGGGGAGCGGCTCGGGCGGCGGCGCGGGCGGGCGCGCGGGCTCGGGCGGCGGCGGGGACGGTGCTCCGCGGCGGCGGCCCCACAACCTCCCCTCCTCATTCACAAAAAATTGACCCACGTTGAACCATGATGCTTCTCCTCCGCCCCCCCCCCGCCGCCGGCGCCCAGCCGGGCCGCGATTGGCCGCTCACGACGCCCGTCTGCCGCCACGGCCCCGCCTCCCGGGCCGGCGGCTCGCGCGCCATTGGCCGCTGCCGCCTTGCGTCACCTCCCCTCCCCGGCCCCGCCCTCCCGCCCGCTTTCTAATGAAGAGCGCGTCAATTACGGCTCGGCCCCGCCTCTGCGCGCCCGCCCCCCGCCCCCCGTCTGCTCCCGCCCCTCGCCCCCGCGGCGGCCCAATCGCCGAGCCGGACGGCCCGTGAGCGACAGGAATGCTCCGCCTTCGCCCGCCTCCGTGAACTCCGTCCGAGGCGCCCATTGGCTCACGGAGCTATCAATTCCAGGAGGAGGGGTGCGAGGGAACCAGAGGACGCTTCAGGCGCCAGCCGCTGGGCGCCTGGCGGAGAAAACGCAGCGAGTGGAGGTGGGCATCGGTGGTCAACACGGTCCGGCCGCGGCCAGTGCTTCCCGGCAGCTCGCGGAGCTGCCGGCCGTAGGCACCGCCTGCCCACGCACCTAAGTCGCGCGGGACGGTTACAACGGGGGCGCAGGCTGAGGCGGAGAGCCGGCCGGGCCTCGCCGGAGCCTCCATCTTGGCTATTGGCAGGCGGTCACGTGGTGCAGCGTGGGCCCGGAGAGGTAGGGGCCGCCCGAGAGCGAGTGCGCAGGCGCGCCGGGCCTCGCCCTGCCCCGCGGCGGGAACGCGGCCTCCCGGGAGCCGGCCTGGGGCGGCTGCGGTGACCGATCGTGAGGCCGCAGGGCCGCCGGTGCTGCAGAGGCCGCTGCCCCGAGGGTCGCCGGTGCTGAGGCCGCTGCCCCGAGGGTCGCCGGTGCTGCAGAGGCCGCTGCCCCGAGGGTCGCCGGTGCTGCAGAGGCCGCTGCCCCGAGGGCCGCCGGTGCTGCAGAGGCCGCTGCCCCGAGGGCCGCCGGTGCTGAGGCCGCTGCCCCGAGGGTCGCCGGTGCTGCAGAGGCCGCTGCCCCGAGGGCCGCCCGTGCTGCAGAGGCCGCTGCCCCGAGGGCCGCCCGTGCTGCAGAGGGGCTGCGCTGGTCTGGGGGTGAGCTCGGCTCAGCGACACCCTAAGGGACCCTGCCAGCCGTCAGGTTTGCAGAATAAGGAACGGTTAGGGTGCTGGAGGACAGCTAGACCGGGAGCCCGGGAACTGCTCGCTGGAAGAGCGGCCAGGAGTGCGGGCGACCCCCGCAGCAGCGCTTCGGTGAGAAGCCCGGAGTTGTTGAAAACACGAAATCGCTCAGATGCACCTCCTCATAAAACCGGGGTTTGGGATGCCACCTTGGCCAGATTAACCCCCGAAAGTGGGGTTCCGGTTCAGAGGCTGGTCCAGGACCACACAGTGTGGGATTCCATCTAGGGGACGGTGACAGCCCTGACACCCGTGTTCCAAGCGAGCCTGGGATCCAGAAACAAAGGCAGCCCAAACCCTGTGCGTGCGAGCCCAGCACCGTGGCCAATGTTGAACATGCATCCCGCATGGATGCTGGTTCCGGTCCCGGCTGCCCTCAGAGGAGGATGGCCCGAGCCCGTGGGTCCCTGCACCTACGTGGGACTAGAGGCAGCACTGGCCCTGTGCAGGCATCTGAGGAGTGAACCAGCAGATGGAAGCTCTGTCTCTTTCTATGTAAATATGCATTTCCAGTAAAATAAACCCTTCAGATAAGTACATCTTAAAAAGTAAGCAGCCGTGCAAATGACACGCTAACAGGCGTCAGGCTAAGCACTTCGGACGCATTAGAAAACATTTCACAGTTGCAAAAGAACATTCTAAGTACGTGAAGTCCACATGGGGCTTATTGCAAATTCACATCAGTCCAACAGGTAAGCCAGAGAACAGCTGGGTCCAGAATGGACAGAAGGGGGACTGCTCCCAGAAGGGAAAACATCGTCCAGGTCCCCCAGTGACGGCAGCGTGGCAGTGGCCCAGAGCCATGGCGAGGAACAGGCAGGCGAGCTGTTCCAGCTAACCAGTGCGTGGGGGACGGGCGAGCTCCATCAGCCCCTAAGAGGAGAGAGAGCACGCCAAGCTCCCGTCACAGTCCAGGTGTCGGGGAGGACTGAGGGCTCGCGGAGCCAAAGGAATGCTGGCAGCGAAGCATTGGGGGTGCACACGCAGCAGAAGCGGCAAGCCCGTGGTGTGGGCACGTGGGTGTTAGCAGCTCGGAGAGGTGGCTCCAGGGCATCGCGGACAGCGCGTGCTTTGTGGCTCCGTTAGGGAAGTCGGGAACAGCCAGGGCTGGGGACACAGGCCGCAGGATCTCCAGGAAGTCATGGCTACCAGTCCAGGACTCGGGAAGGCTGCAGCAAGCTGGCTTCTGATGGCTCTGTCCCGGGAGTGATGCTGTTCGTGTCCGAATGCCCCTTGGCAGAGAAGGTTCTGTGCCCCGGTTTAGGCGGCGGACTGGGTGGTGCTCCACGGGTGTGAGTGGGAAAGACACGTGAGAATGTTCCGGGTGGTGGCGAGGACAATTCCAGCAGGGGCATCGATGGGGAGGCTGGACCCAAGAGCTGCCCCCTGGGAGGGAGCGGGACCAGACCCCACTGAGGCACGTGCTGTTGGAGGAAGGTAAGATGTCAGGAGCTGAGGGGCAGGAGGACAAGCAAACCCAGGAAAGGTGCAGAATGTTCCCGAAGAAGAGAAGCACAACGCTTGATCTGATGAAAGGAGCTGTGGAGAAACGAGCCCTCTATTAACTGGTGTCAGCTGGTAGACTTTCAGGCAGTTACTTAACGATACACAAATAAAACCTTGAGATGTGTGCAGTCCTCGCCTGCTGATTCTAATTCTAGCACGTCATTCCAATAAATAAAACCCGGAGCAGACATGGAGCCCGGCAGTTAAAATACGTCCCGTCCCAGTCCTCGGCCGTGGCTCCTGGTTGCAAGGATGGACCGAGGACCTGGCTTCCTGCCACAGGCGTGGGAGACCCGGATGGAGTTCCCAGCTCCTTGGCCTGGGCTGAGGCTGGTGTGGGCATGTGGGACGTAAACCAGAGAACAGGAGCTCATGTAAGTAATACATCAATAAACGAATGAGTTAACGCTCAAATAATGGTACTGACAGACATTTGACTAAAAGGGTCCCAGAAGCAATAGTTAGTTGGAATGAACTTTTTTCAGAAACAAATAAGGGGTTATGAAAAGAAGTGCACCTTCTCGTTTCAGGAGGAAAGGAAGAATCCAGCTTTCTGCTGGCGGGCATGGGGAAGCAGCGGAAGTGGTCGGAGGACGGAGGCCCCTGCCACCCGCGGGAAAGTACAGGCAGGGGCCCAGGCCTCTGGCCTCCTCCTGTCGCAGCCCTGGCCGTTCTGATCTGGAGGCTGAACCAGTGAGTGAACGATTCTTTGTCTAACTTGCCTCTCAACTGAACAAGGTACAGCATAAGGAAGGAACCCAGGGTGGTAGGGTTTCCAGAGATGGAGACACTCACGCCAGGTTCGCAGCACCACCTTCCCAAAGAGGGGTGGCCGCCACCTTGGCTGGCTCACTGAAGCCTCCGTGGACATGCACTCCTCTTGTCTTCATGTTTTCAGCAATCCAGCAGGACACCACGTTAACCAGCCAGCCTGCAGGGTGGCATATGACAAGCTAGTCAGGCATCACAGCATGCCCAGCAGGTGGGGGAGATGCTGCAGAGGTGGTTAAGGGCTCAGTGTCCAGGCCAGTTCTGGGCTCGTTCTGTGGCCCTGGGACTCCGGCCAGCTGTCCGTGAACCCACCAAAGTCAATTCAGAGGAAGACAATGAGTCCCCAGGGTCAAAGTCTGACATCTCTGCGGGGTGGCGGGAAGGGGCTGTCAGTCCCAAGCTGCCAGCATGCCATGGCATGGTATGGAGGAAGGGGCTGCAGCACTGAGGCTGGCAGGCCAGGCGGGGAGGGGGCTTGGCTCGGGTCCTGCCCCTGGGGACCTGGCTGTTTCTGGCAAGCAATGGGCCAGGTGTGCAGAGCAGCTTCTGAGAAGGCCGCCTGCCAGGTGCCTAGGCCTGGGTCTCCTAGAAGTGCAGCCCAGCAAGCAGCAGTGTGGCCATGTGATGGCCGCAGGCAGGAGGGCAAGACTCGGGGCTGTGCCATGGGCTGGGCTGGCTGTCCATCCTGGGAAGGACAGGGAATCGGGGTCCTGAGGCAGAGGTCACAGCCCCTGCACTGCCCGTCAAGCAAGTGCGAGGTCCAGCAGTCTCGCAGTCCACTGCCCCTCCCTGCTCATGGGCAGCGCACCAGGCAGGAAGTCAAGGGGGCTGCCGCTCACTGCACCTGCGCTGCGGGGACTCAGCCCTGGGACACCTGCGCTGCGGGGGCTCAGCCCTGGGACACCTGTGCTGCGGGGGCTCAGCCCTGGGACAAGCACAGCATCCCAGAGAACTGAGGGGTCACGCACTGTGACATAAGACACCGGCCAGCTCAGGTGTCCATCGGAATGCCTGGGACCCACCAGGCCTGCCCATGAAGTGAGGGGAACAGGGCTCGGAGGGGCTCAGGGTGGACGCCTCAGGCCTATCACCAAGTCAGAGAGGCTCCCGCACCCCCAGATGTTGGAGGGGCTCTGTGCCTCCCCAGGCCTCGCCCTGCTTGGAGTGGAGCTTCAGCCACCAGCCTTAAGGAGCCTTGCTCCTCAGCCAGGCCTGAACCAGGCTCTGCCTACCCCCACAGGCCCCCAGGCTCTACTGTGGCACAACTGGCCTCAGGGAGGCCCCGAAGAGCACACCTCCCGTATGCCCGGAGTGGCTCTAAGCCGTGGATCTATAGATCCCTGAGAAGCAGGCACACAGGCCCCA